GAGCTAATTTATAAATACTATATTGTGAATCACACCCCCAAAATTATTAGTAGGATTTTCAAATTAGACAAGTTGATTTTAAAGTTCCTACGTAAAGCTAAATAAGCAATAAGAGCCAGGGAAAAGCATCTAGGGAAAAATAAGAAGAGGAATAAAGAAGGACTGATAATACCAATTATTAAAATTGGAGAGACAGAAAGAGAAGGAACAAAGAGAGTGAGGGAAGGAGAGAGAAGAGAAAAAAGAAACCCTACCTTTTATAACTGCTATGTAGGAAATACATTAAGTGCAATTTTTAATACAAATATATTACCTTTCCCCTCCTCTCCACCTCACTGATATACAAATACCTCGTTAACTTAATGAAATAAATGAGCAATTATAAATGGAATAAATGAGCAACTAGCAAATAGTTTTTAGTCTTAAATTTCAGTACAATTTTAATTCAACTAGAAAATATAAAATCTACTAAAATCCTTAATACAATCCCTGGCACATAGAGGCATGCACTCAAGAAATACTTGCTGAATAAATAATAAATAGTAGAGACATTTGATAAATTGTCTTTTGGAGTCCTAATGCCATTGAATGGATTTAGACACTATGCTAATATATGGGGTTTTTTAAAAAGTAATTAATTAGTATTATTTTTTAAACTCAATTTTGAAAAGTTGAAATTATAGGAATCAGAACCAAAACAGTTTCAATTCAAAAGTAACCAAAAAAGGAAATACATTTTATATTTTTAAGTAAAGATAGCAAAAGTATTCTAATTGCTCTCCTGTGATCACTTGGTCATGCAAGATCCCCAAAATGTATTATAAAAAGTCACATCATTCATTGTAGCATTATAATTATAGTAGCAAAACTCTAAAAAAACAAAAAACAAAAAAACAAAAAACCCTAAATATCCATCAATGGAGGACAGATTCTGAACAAATCCTGGTACATTTATGCAATGGAATACCATGTAGTTATTTTAAAAAATAAAGTAGATCTCTGTGTGCTGATGTGGAAGAACCAAGATATCTTGTTAATTTTCAAAAAGCATGGAGCTGAACAAGGAGCCATGGAATGCACCTTACCCAGGGCTCTCGAGTCAGTGTGTAAGGCTGAAATTTAATATAGTCCTAATGTCCCTCAAAGATCCCCCATGATAATGCCAGTTTGCAGGCATTATGAACACTCCCTCGGTAAATGTTGTACAGAGCTAGTGTTTCCTTTGGCACTAAAAGGCTCTTCTGGTTCTTCAGTTGCACACCAGATGAAGCTGGCTCCCACAGGGACCATGTTTGTGATAAATACAGTCTTTAAAAGTTAGCCTTTATCCAGCCTTAAAAAGGAAGGAAATCTAACCATTTGCAACAACATGGATGAACCAGGAGGACATTATCCTAAGTGAATTAACCCAGACACAGAAGGCCAAATACTGTATAATTCCACTTATATGAAGTATCCGGTCAAACTCATGGAAACAGAGAGCGGAAGGGTTTCCAGGGGCTGGGGGAAGGGGGAAATTGGGAGTTGCTACTCAATAGGTATAAACCTTCAGTTATATAAGATAAATGATTCTAGAAATCTGCTGTACAACACTGTGCCTATATTGTATTGTATACTTAAAAATCTGTTAAGAGGGTAAATCTCACATTAAATGTGAGATCTACAGGCACAATGGCACATGCCTATAGTCCCAGCTACTCAGGAGGTTGAGGCAAAAGGAGAGCTTGAGCCCAGGTGTTTGAGTCCAGTGTGGGCAATGTAGCAAGACCTTGTCTCTAAAAAAAAAAAAAAAAAAAAGAAAGATTTAAAAAATCTTTTTACCACAATTAAATTAAATTAAATTAAATTAATTTTTTTTTTTAAAAAGCTAGCCTCACCCCAGGCTCAGGGCTGTGCATGCTAAGAGTGAGTCCAGCTAAAGGAGCAACACGCTGGTGTAAAGTCTCCTGCTTAGTCATCAAGTAGAATGTCATGTAGATCACCAGCACTGATTCTTTCCTGCTTTGGTTTGGTTTATTTTTTACTAATTTTGTTTTATCACATACATGCATTACAATAATGTAAGTCAATTCACCTACAGAACATCTCCACTGTAAAATTCTCTTATTTGTGTAAAATAAATAAAAGAACACGTATCCACAAATATACTCACCTATACACAGATTTTTCTAGAGGTGCACTCAAGAAACTGGAAATACAGGTTATTTTTGCCAAGAGCGACAAGGAATCTGGAGAACTGGAGTCAGAGGACATTTTACACTCTAATATTTTTGTATGATTTGAATTTTATCATGTATATGAATTACTTTTTTTAAAAAACCTACCAGTAAAAATACCATGTTTAAAAATACATAAAATCTAATGATTTAAGATATAAGTGTAGACTAAATACCTACTTACCTCCCACTAATAACAACTTACTCCATCTGTAATTCTTAACCTTTGTGGGTCTTATAGAATCTTTGGAAATTTGGTAAGAATTACGACCTTTTCCCCAGTAGAAGACATGTAGATATACACACATATAACCATGAAGTCCATAAACATTAAATTTACAGCTGTTGTGCTACAACATTTATCTGTGGGATTCTTGCCAAAAATGTTTAACCTGAATCTATTCATGAAGATATAATCTGATGAATCAAACATATGGGGCATTCTTCAATATAAACAGCTTAGACTCCAAAAATTCCATGTCATAAAACAAAGGAAACTAAAAACATAAATCCAAAAAGACTAAGAGACACAACAACTAAATACAATGTAAGAATATTGGTCAAATCATGAATTGGGGAGGGAAAAAAACCTATAAAATATATATTTGAAACAATAAGAGAAATCCAAATCTGGATTCTGTATTAGATGATATTATGGAATTATTTTTTGTTTTATAAGTGTTATGATGCCTGTTAAACAACTGAGGGGTGAAAAGTCATGATGTCTGCAACTTATTTTTATGGTTCAAAATAGTATACCCAGGGATAGTGCAAATGAATGTGACTAAAGGTTAACAACTGTTGAAGCTACATAAAGGGCATATGGGTACCTGCTGTACTATTTTTCTAACTTTTCTGTAAACCTGAAATTTTTCTACACACAAAGTTGAAGGCAAAAAAAAAACAGTTAAAATACTTCACTCTCCTATAAAACTTCACTCTCCTATAATTCTAACACAGCACCCACCACCAAATTTTCCCCTCTTCCACTTATTCTTCTGGCTTTCCATCTCCTTCTTTCTTGCCAAAATGGATTGTACTATTCAGGAAATCTAGCACTTGATTTGTTTCTTCCAAAATTATTATGAAGCATAAACAATGTCTCAACTTGGACTGTCTCTTTTTTTGTCTGTCTCTCTTGGTTAAACTATGAGCTTGGTGAGGGAGGTCAGGAACTACACTTTTGTCGTCTTTATAACCCCAGTGTCAGAACACAATAAGAAGAGTCAATAAACATGAGGTGAACTGAAACTTTGGACCAGTTCACTGAACTTTAGTACCTATTGTGCTATTCTTTAGCAAACTGGGTAACAGATAATATGGAAGGATTTTTAAAATGCTGAAACTAAATCACTAAAATAAAATACTAGAGCTGCTTCTTCCTTGAGTATAGAGAAAATGAGCCTTGCTTATAAGTAGCTTTCTACCACATTAGCAAAAGTCTGGAAATACAAAACACACTCAAAGTTAATAAAGTTAAAATTTTCACACTGCCAGGCCGGGCGCGGTGGCTCAAGCCTGTAATCCCAGCACTTTGGGAGGCTGAGACGGGCGGATCACGAGGTCAGGAGATCGAGACCATCCTGGCTAACACGGTGAAACCCCGTCTCTACTAAAAATACAAAAAAACTAGCCGGGCGAGGTGGCGGGCGCCTGTAGTCCCAGCTACTCGGGAGGCTGAGGCAGGAGAATGGCGTAAACCCGGGAGGCGGAGCTTGCAGTGAGCTGAGATCCGGCCACTGCACTCCAGCCTGGGCGACAGAGCGAGACTCCGTCTCAAAAAAAAAAAAAAAAAAAAAATTCACACTGCCATTTGTGCACGCCACTGGCCTTATCTGACTTCTACCTGTTAGTTTTTTTATTCTCTAATTCTACACTGACAACATTTTCTGTGATGATGGAGGTGAAGAGCCTGTCACTGGCAACACAGCACCATCCTCATTTAGAGTAAATAAAACTATTTAAAGCAAATTGGAAATTGAATGACAGAAAGTGCCACAGATGGACCACACTGGGAACAGGAGTGGAATGCCGCATTGCTCATCATCTCCACCATCCAGGAATGAAGTTGGCACCAAAATGCTGGCAGTAGACCAGAGTGGACCATCACTGTGTATGCAAGACAATCCAAATGAATTGTACTATTCTTTGAGATTAAGAAGCAGCTCAGGGACTTTCCACTAAAATAAAAATCAAATCTATCAATTGCCATTAGTGTTTCACTTTTTAAAAATGTTTCCCCTTAACTTGAGTCATTATTGCTCATTATGTTTTCCTCTTTCCTTTCATGTACCTTCTTTTCTCTTTGGAGATGTCTCTAGAATGGAAATACATGGAACTCATCCAATTGACACTTAAATTCTGTAAACTCTATGATACAAAGTTACTCCATTTACAGTAAAGCTTAAGCACCCCAGTGCAGACTCTTTATTAAAGTGAAGATAATTTAGAAACTGAGTTGAACTTAAATAAAAGTATTGCTAAAAGCATCATGAATGGCAAAAGTCTGAGGACTTCTTTCTTTCTAGGATAAAAGAATATTGGTCAAATCATGAATTGGGGAGGGAAAAAAACTATAAAAGATATATTTGAAACAATAAGAGAAATCCAAATCTGGATTCTGTATTAGATGATATTATGGAATTATTATTTGTTTTATAAGTGTGATGATGCTTAACAACAAAGTTTAACACTTTTGTTGCCTGCCTATAGAAAATTGCTTATTCTTTTAAAGACCGAGTATTCACTTTATCCTGTTCTCTTTCTTGCTTTCTGTTAATCCAGGAAGACATCAGAGGAGAATGAAAGAAGTAAGAAAGGTTTATGAGAACCAAAAATGGAAAATCATTTCTTTCACAGCAGTGCTCAGACAAGAACTCTACCCACTGAAGTCAACCGGGTAATTTACATTTACCTATACAGTAGTATGTCTACCCAGTCTTGCTCTGGATAAAATGTGTCAACTCTCCCAAACTAATGTATGGCCTGTTGCATAATTATCCCTCATTACATAATTGATCCTACCTCCTGCAATTCCTTTCCCAGTAACCACTATTCATTGGTCCCAGCCTGGAAGATCAGATATTCAAATTTACTAGCTCAGGCTCCATGTTCCTACCCGAACTCTTGACCTGGTTACAGGAAGGAAAAATAGTGACACTTTTCACTGCCTAAATGTTTCAGTCCCATTTCTTTCTGATTTGAGAGTCCACTGAAATTCATTATCTTGGTTAAGCAAAAAAAAAAAAAAATGAAGACACCTGTGGCTGGGGTAATAGCGGGGCATGCTGGCTCAAGATGGGTTGTACCAAAAATAATTGGTGATGTAAAATATATTCCCTATGCTAGCCCACCCTTTTTTTAATCTTCAGTTTCTTTCTGTATTTTTCTGCTCTTTTGCCCTTTTTTCTCCCTTTCCACCCCTTCCACACCCTATGCTTGTGTCAATGACTGCCAAAGATACCGGAATTGGTAAAGTTATTTCTGTTCCCTTCTCCTTTTCATTCATCAGGTAATGGCAGCAAAAAAGGTTTAATCCAAGTCAGTATAATCAACTTATCTAAGTGCTCTGATATTTACTGAGTCGTGCTCTGTACTAGATACAGTGAAAGCGAAGAGGAGGAAGCCTTCATCCTTGTCTGCAAGAAGTCTACACTCCTAAGGGGGGAAACAAGCATGCAAACAACTAAATCTAATGCAAGAGATAAGAACACAGAGGGAAAAGCAACTAAATGCCAATGAGGAGACGGTTTCACTAATCCCTACCAGGAAATTATACTACAGAGAAATTTTTTTCTAAGAACACTTAGAAAGACAAAAGTGTAAATTAAGTTTCACTGGATGTCATGCAAAGGAATCCTCAAGCTCAAAGAGCATGTCTCCTTTCAAGTTTTTGCACAGGGTGGGGAGTTGTACAGTACAAATGCTTATTCTTTATTTTTTGGCTCAGTATGTTTTTATTTAATTTTTATAGATACATAATAATTGTACATATTTATGGGGCACACATAAAGTTTTGATAACTTACAATGCATAATGATCAAATCAGGGTAATTGGTATATTCATCACTTCAAGCATTTAATATTTCTTTGTGTTAGGAACATTTCAATTCCGATCTGATTTTGAAATATACAATAAGTTATAGTTAACTCAAATGCCCACTCTTTAGCACAAAAGTAACTGAATAGATAGAAAACCAGAGGAACTACTTATAAGTGTTATGTTTCCACCTGTGGTGACTCTATTTTGAGAACAGAACTTATTTTGCCTCTTCCAAAAAAATGGTACAAATGAAGCTGTGCAAATTGACTAGGGTTGCACAAACAAGCTAAGCATCCAGGTCTATATAACATAAAGAAAGGGGGTAGATATCTGACTGGTAAGTTACCCCTCTTTCCTTCTTTTTGTTATCCAGGGAATTAAGCAAGTTCAGAGAACTGAACCTGGGTAATTACCCAATTAAACATTTTCCTAGCATTGGGAAATCATGATGCATGGAAAGGACAACACCAGTGGGAGAAGGCAGGAATGCAAAAGGAGACAAGTGCCAATCAGAGGCAAAATCCGAGGCCCTTGTGGCCTGACTATAAATAATTGCTTTTCCTCACATCCTTGTCACCTCTTCCTAAAATTAGAATTAGCTTCCTGGCCTGAAAGTTAAACCTCACTCCCACACCCTCCTTTCTCACAAAGCAATATTCCCTAATGCAATAAGGTGGTGGGATTTCAACAACAGCAAGAGTTTAGGAGTCAGGTAACTCCTTGCTCAACTCCTGCTTTTCATTTCAGAGCTTTGTTAATCGCTGCACCGAGCTTCTTCATCTGAAAAATGGGGATGAGGATGATGATGGTAACAGCTAGTAATCATAAAACAGGCACTGTGCAAAGCGCTTTATATGCATTATTTATGTAATGGGCAGTATTCATGATTATTACTACTGCAATTGTAGTCCTCCTTTACAAATGAAGAAATTGAAATTCCGAGAGGCGTTAATTTTCCCAAGGTTTAACCTCAATGCCTTAACTCTTGACCCTTTCTACTACTATAATAATACTGCCTAAACAAGGTATTGAAAGGGTTAACATTAACATGTATGGACACACCAACTAATGCTATTGTCATCGCTTTTGATGTTGCTGTTGTTGAGCGTGATACTGTTTTTGTTGCTTTTCTCTCTCCCCAGATACTAGCAGTTCTAAGATCTAATAAGCACAAACCATCCACCCATATACTGGCAAGTGTAAACCAATGTCATGGGAACATTTTTGAGCACCAAATAACAAAGCTAATATACCTTTTAGATCTTTCATTATTAAAATGTTTCTGTTGAGCATGAATGAGAGCAAGAGAAAAAGAAATGGGATTCAGTACTACCTAAAATGATCCCCCATGCCTACGTTTCTAAAAATTCAGAATGACAAATGAAAGGTACACTGTTCTTACATGTGTCACTTAGATTTCTTAAGATAAAATTATGTATCATATGCTAATTTTTGACTATTCAAACTGCGTTTCTGCTTCATTCTTATCTTTTAATTCACTTTTCATTGTAATGAAATAACTATAATACATGTTTAAACCTCTAACATGCCAAAATGCCAATCAGATTAAACACAATAGGAAGCATTTGGCATACCCCTGGAGACTTTCCTAAATAAAATAAAATTGTTATTACATTTCATCACTTCCTTTCTTATTGCCAACTAATGTCCCCATGTCTGAAAGGGTCATTTTCAAGCTACACGTCTATTTATAATAGTGTGTTCACTGTCTTCCTTCCTCTGGCACATTATCTATGACCTTGACCATTTCAGGACAGATAAAATGGTACCATAAACATATGTTTACGAAGCTCCAGACATCTTGTAAGAGATTTTGTGGTTATTAAAAGCAGTAAAGAGTGACAAGCACAGTTCTATACTATAATACTGCCTGTCAAGAGAAAAATGTCACCCTTACCATAAAGTATCCAGAGGCATAATTAGGAAGTGGCAAAGGGAACGATTTCCTGGGCACAGTAATAACAGGGCTGAGATGAAACACAGCAGCAATGGAAGCTGCCTTCTCTCCAACATGCCCGAGTGGAGCCCCAGACCACACCAAGGGTCCAGGGCATAGTCATGCTCCCACGTCCAAAATGTGGAACATCAAGGAATGCCCAGGACAGTCACACTCATGAAGAGGTGGCAACAAGAATTTCTGGGAGCAAATGAGATATTCTGATGTTTCTGACTTTTCCTAATTGCATCATTATGAAAACTAAAATAATGAATCCTCCTGGGCACCAACTAAGAACATTAAAGAAATTGAAACTTCACAGCTCCTGATGCTCCATACCCATAAACACAGATCCATACAGTCCCCACAGAACTATAAATAAATCCTGCCTGAAAGTCTCCTTCCTGTTCACATGTTTTTCCATAAAGCTTGGTAGTATCTCTTTCCTTTTATCTTAACTTTTATCCTTGTGATTCCTGTCGGTCAAGGACAAGAGGTACAAATAAAATGGGAGCTCCAGATTCTTGCTCAGTTCATCGCAACTCCCCCTGAAAAAGTCTCCTTTCCCAGAACCAAAGGAATAAAAATAATCCCTGTAAAGTTATGTGCTGCTTTGGGGCCCTTTCTGCAACATAGGGAGTTCAGTGTATCCCTAGGCATCCTTCCAGCTCAAACATTTTCTGATTCTGGGATGTGTGAGGCTGGAGATGAGTGGAGTCTCAGGAGCGGCCCCTGCAGCCTCTATCCTAGTCAGGAGCCGCCTCTCACATTTGGGGGCCCAGTCCCGGCAGCTGTGAGGCCTGGGGCTAGGAGGTTGGCATCTGTCCTCCTCAGAGCTAACATTGGCTTCAGCAGGGGAGCAACTTTCTGTCAAGTGATTTTTCTCACTTACAGAAAAATCCTATCTTTCTCACTTTTATAATCAGCATTATTCACCTGTCAGGACTCATTCCTATCCCAGCTTCTCCACTTAGTAGATGTGTGACCTCTTGGGCCTCAGTTTCCTCACCTGTAAAAAGAAGGCACTAATGACATCAATTGTTGTTGCAAGAATTGAATTGGTTAATGTGTGGAACGTGTTAGAACAGTCCCTGGAATACACGAAACACCAGGTAATTGCTAACCACCAGGTGTATTGTTATTACTGCTGGTAGTAGTAGCTCACCAACACAAGGGATGCCAACACTACTACCTTTCCCTTATCTTTTCACTCCACTAAGTTTGGAATGGATGGTTCAGATTCCCATTTTAAAAGCCCCATTGGACTTCACAAAGCCTCCTGCCAGTGCTCTGAGACTTTACCGGAAGGTTTTCATTTTCTCTTGACAGGAGGCACACTGTGTGTGGAAAGTGTCCTTGCCACCTCTATAGTATAAATAACTATCAAATGTGACTACGAATCATAAACATGTCAGTGATTTGATTCCATGGATTTACATCATAATTGAAATAGTCAAGGTCACAAATAATGGGCTAAAGGAAAACAGCAGCACCATACCACCAATCCTGAATTTTCTCCAACTTTTCTCTAATATGTACTTTTTAGCATTTTAGAGTCCTATAGAGTGCCTGTGTTTGAGGAATTAATTCCTCTCTGATAACATATGTATTTTGAATAACACCCCAGTTACAGATTGAATCCTGGCGACAACAGGAAATGGCAGAAAAATAATGGTCTAAAATATTCCCAAACCCAAACCTCTTCTCTCAGAAAGAGGTGTAGAGCTGTGACAAGTAAGCTACCACATCGCTCACTTCTGGTCACAATATCCAGTAATACTCAAAGGCTGTGGTGGTGAACTAATATTCTACCTAAGGTTAAAAAAAAAAAAAAAGGATAATAGATCCAATCATTTAAATTATTTTTTGCCCAACATTTGACACCTTTACAAGCTCTAAAATGATAATATGTTCCAGTCACTGAAGGTTTTATTTTATGAGATTCTATAATTTCAATACATATCATGAACTAATTTATCCTTGTTCACTTTAAATCTAGAGAGACATCGTGGTACCAGTCAAGGTAGATGTGGCCAGAATCACTGAAATAGAATGATTTACTTAACACTGTGCACATTCCTCATGGGGTGGGGGCAGGTATGTTCATAAATAACTGGAAAATCGGAATATTATAATAAACTACTTATTTAAATATTGAATACCTTTACCTTAGTATGGGTGAAGTGGAGATGTCAGGAGACAAAGTCTTCCTGGTGGTATATTGGTCCAGAGACAACTCTCTTCTCACTCTATCTTCCCCACTGGAGGGTCCAGCCATGTGCAAGTGGGTGGGGAGGGAAGGTGGTGTCCCATCACTACCTCAAGTCAGTATACCCCAAACCCAGAATATTGTACAATCTAAGTTTACTCAAGTCTCTTCACTCAAGTTCAAGTGAGGTAACTCATCTCAGACAGTGATGTAATCCATCTTGTACAACATCCAAAGTGTGGTGAGGAGTTGGGAGTGTCATCTCTAGACTAACTCATTCCTCGATACTAACTGTGGGAGTGGGGCTCAATCCCAGACTTTTGGGAGCCCCATATGTATGTCCATCCCACCAGTGGTCAGTGAGTGACTTCCCCTTGCCATTTTCTTCTTTACATTCTCTTCCTAACTCTCATAGTTCCTCTCTCCCTGAAGTTTCCATTCCTCTGGTGTCCTGGACACACGAATGGATTTTTATTTATACTCATTATCTGCTCCACATGGTTCTGTTGCTAGACGGGGAAGATTAAGATGTCTGTGGGTAGAGGTGCTGGGGGAAGAGTTCCTCACAATGATGTGGTATCTGAGGGACACCAGCTTAAATCACAACGGTTAATCTCTTGCTGGTACAATTGTCCTACCTTATCAAACTAAAGAGGCTCAGCCTCCTTCCCAGCTTTAAGTTGTAGTTCAAAAAGGTGCCTTCAATTTCCATACTACTCTAGATAAAGTAGCTTCCCCAGACTTCTCTATCCCATTAATTAAATTTACTTTATTCTTAGTATTTAACAGTGGGTAAAATTTATATTGACTTTTTTACACACTAATTGTCTCTTCCCCCCCCCCACTCCCTGCCAACCACATTAGAATCTAAGAATTCTGATAACATTTGTATTTTGTATTCACTTTCACTAGAATGTGAATATCTTTAGGATATTCACGGCTCTATATGCAATTCCTATAAAGGTGCCTGGCACAAGATAGGCAAGTTTCAGACCTGCATGCCCAATTGTCTATTGGTTTATCACATGGGCATCTCAATCACAACTTGGACAAAACTGAATTCTGGAAAGCGTACTTAGAAAACCCATTCTTCCTCCTATATTTTCTACCGTCTACCATTTTCCCCAGCTAGAAAATTGTCATCCTTTAATTGCCTGCTCCCCTTTCCCTTTCTTCAATTCCCCCACATTCCTAATTCTTCTCCTTCCTCTACATCCATCTCATCTCCCCACATCTAACTGGCATCCAACTCATGCCAATTCTTCCTCCTCCATCCTCCCTCTTTCCTATCTTTAAATGTTACCACTTCTGTGAAACCTTTTCCTTACCACTACTGTTAGTAGCTTTGATCTCTGTGCTTCACACCATCATGTCTTTTCAGTGTTTTTAGGTCCTTTTAGGGTTTCACAGTTAAAAATTTTGAGACCTGCTACAAATCATGGGCCCAAGAAAATCCATTTGCACTCAGACTTTTACATAAAATGACAGCACTCTATATTTCAAACCCTTTACTGAAACATGCATCATGGTAACTGTGTTATATTTATTTATGTATCTGTCTTCTTCACTAGAATGTAAGAAGTTCTAGGACAAGTTTATATCATGTTATCTTTTTCATAAAACTCCTTTGTTTATATTGCTGTGCTTAGTATGTATAAGGTACTAAAAATCATCAAATTACTGTCTACTGCAATATTTAGATGTTATGTTAAGACAGCATCTTCCAAATAGTCATTTGAATATCACCCTCACAATTTTTGCCATATCTGCTCAACCTATCCTACTATGTACTTAACAATTTGTGTAGATTGTTTGTAAAATCTTTACCAAAGATTATTTCCATTTCTGAACATATGTGTCATTAAACCCCCAAAAAGGTGTGGAGTCTATTTCTCCTCCCCTTGAATCCGGACTTGTCTTGTCACTTGATTTGACCAATAAAATGTAGCAGGAGTAACACATTGCGACTTCTAGATCTGGACCTTAAAAGACTTTGTACTTTTTTTTTTACTGTCTTTAGATCCAGCCATGATGTTAAAAAGCTCCATGTGGTCTCTCATCACTAGGCAGTGATGAGATACCACTAAACAGGGAGAGGCTTGACCACCTGCAGCCATTCTGGCCACCCCAGCTAGGTTGCCAGACATACAAGTGTCTTAGTCCATTTAGGCTCCTGGAACAAAATAGTTTAGACTGAGTAATTTACAAACAACAGAAATCTACTGTTCACAGTTCTGAAGGCAGGGAAGTTCAAGATCATGGCACCAGCAGATTTAGTGTCTGGTGAGGGCTTGCTCTGCTTCCTAAATGGAGCCTTCCTGCTGCATCTTCACATAGCAGAAGGGGCAAACAGGCTCCCTCAAGCCTCTCTTATAAGGGCACTAATTCCATTCATGAGGGCAGAGCCTCCTAAAGGTCTCACCTCTCACATTGAGTCTTGAGTTCCAACCTTTGAATTTTGAGAGGACACCAACATTCAGACCATAGCAATGAATAAAGCTATTTTGGTCCTTCCAGCCTCAACCAAACTCTCAAGCCACAGGACCCCAGCAGACCTCATGGAGAGAAGAATTGCCTAGCAGAGCCCAGCCAACTCATAGAATCCGAATAAGTCATTGTTTTTTAAACCAGTATGTTTTGGAAGTAGTCCACACAGCAATAGATAGCTGATGTGATGCTTTTCTTTAAAACTCTTTTTTTAAAACTTAAGTCTGTGTTAAAAAAATTTTTCTCACTTCTATAAATAGAAAATTACTATCACTTTCCATAAAACTAACCACAATGAAAGAAGAAACAAAGTAATGTTATTCACTTCTAGCCAGATAATCCTGCCTTCAAAAGTCTCTGTGTTCCTTCCAAAGGAAGATCCCCAAATGTCAGAGAGATATTAAAGATACACCAAAACTAAATTAGGACTGCCTCCTTGGTGTGAGTTAAGCTAAAAGGAAATGGAATGAAAATAACATACTCAACTCTGAAATTTTATAGTATTTAATGCTGTCTATCACCAAAAACCATAATCTTGTAAAATAATACAGGTGGTAAGCAACTACTGCAAAAATTGTGAGGGTGTTACTCAAATGACTAATATTTGGAAGATGCTGCATTCACCTAACACCTGAACACTGAGGTAGGTAGGCAAGTGGGTGGTCAGCATTTTTACTACCTTCTACACATCAGGCACAATGCAAAACAGAAAGGGGTGTGGATAAAATATACAACATAATGTACTCCTGTGCTAGAAGTGCTTGTACTCTAATGGAGGAGACAGGAGTATAAATAGTTATAACACATTAACTATGGCAAATGTAACTATAAAAGATTTAAAATACAACGCCCAAGGACTCAGACATTGTCAAGGACATAAAATCCCTGACATTTTGGGCAAATGTTTGAGGATATATGGATATTCTGGGCCCATAACTTGCATTAGATTCTCAAAGTTCATTGGAACACATTCTGTAACATAGGAAACACTCGAATAATTAATGCATGGTATTGTTGGTTCTTGGTTCTTGCCTGGATGTTCTTTTTTAGTTTGTCATTTTGGAATCATAACTGTGGCCTCTTCTTTGTTTTTTATGATTTTGTACTTTTCTCACATAGCTGTATGAAAGTTATCTTTAATTCCCTGATGACCAAACTCCCCTAAAGGTCTCTGCCACATTTTAAGCTCTTTGAAGCTAGAGACATACCATATAGCTTCCTGCCTTCAATTTCAAATAAACATCTGTTAAATGAAGAATAAATCTTGTAGAACTCCTGCAGGAAGTTTTCCTGCTGTCTAGGACTGATTAAAAATGTTTTCCATTGCTCAGACTGTGAACACTAAAAGTGTTTCTAATCTGAAATGTGTACATAACAAAATATTTGGAAAAAGGCACCAAGTTCTTCCTGCAATGTGTTATGTGTGTATATTCACAAACGTCTGTCTGGACTGGCATTTTATGTCTAGGCCTGTGTAGGTCAGTGTTGAATATTTTAAACGGTGTGGGGACTGTGTTTATTTACATACTGCATAAAGCAGCCATTGCGATGTTATTCACACACGGGGCCTCTGGGCTTCTCCTGAGCATGAAAGTGCTGCTGTTGACATTCATGCTTTTCTCAGTATTTCTTCTTTTATCCTGTCTTCCAACATAGCAATTTTGTCTTCCTCTGGAACTGAAATTTAGTGAAAAATATAGGCCTCTAAAATGTTAATACTTTCATCCTAATTTTTTTTTAATTTTTTAGCTATGCTGTGAACTAAATGAGCTGAAGCCTCCACTATTCAAAGTTCTTCAAGGTTTGACATTTAAATTTATTCTAAAATAGTTTTTGCATGAAAAACCAAGAAAGGGAGGATTGTGGTTTGTACCTTGGCATGGAATTTTATATGAGTGGGATAGAAACAGAGTAGTGGTGTTGAAGCCGTCTGCAGGATTTACTGGCACTGATTGGGAGCATGAGCGGCCCAGTCTCCAAACAAGCCCATAATTCATATGACTAATTCTAGCTTTTGCCTTAAGCCTCCACCCCAGCCCCCACCCCGCCACACACACAATCAGCATATATGGAAATGTTAATAAAGTCATCATCTCATTCTCTTCAAAATGATTAATTCTCATCACACCCATGCCTCAGTATTTCCAGGTAGGAAGGGGGCTTTCAGGACAAGAGGTTGCAAAGGGAAGCAAATTCAAGTGAGAAACCCTGCAAAACTTTCTGGGAGGCGATAGAATTAAACATCTCTCATTCTGAGATGTGTTCTAGTAGGCATGCTTCTGAGCCATAAGAGCATCCATATTATGGCTTTGAAAACATTTTATATACACATTCTCAAACACTCTAAAACTTTATTTTTTCTAAATTCTTTTTAACCTTAACTTCTGTTTGTAAGGCAAGTTAAAGATTCACCTAAATATATTATTTAAGTGATTCCTATTGTAATACGTGAAACACCCTTTTCATCCATCTATACCTCTGAACCTTTTTAATAATGCCTCATTATAATTAAGAGTTCAGACTGGTTAGCCATAGCATGACAATCATCTACTGAGACTTAATACACTATGTATGTGTAACAGAAAACACCTACTACTTGGAGTGTACAGCTTGCCTAATATAAAGTAGCAGATTTTGAGGGGAATGCATTTTACAGTGACTGCCAGATGCATGCCAAAGCCCCGCCTCCAGTGGTCCAAATAATGATTGCAATGACAGCCCTGGGAACAGCAGGGAGAGTTTTCAGGCTAAACCCTCACAATTTTTCTTACAGCTCCTTCCAAAAGGGAACAAAGCAGCTCTGCGTGTGTGTGTGTGTGTGTGTGTGTGTGTGTGTGTACGCTCCTACGCATGTGTGTGTATATTTTCCTGTTTTGAGGGTAGAAAGTACTAGAAGTAGATAGTAGATAGTGCCTGAGATGCCAACATAGGCAAATGAAGAAGGTGGAGTAGATAAGGAGAGGATTCGACCAGAAGTCCTACAATGGCTTTTTCCAGGTTCAAAAAGTCTCTGATTGGGCCAACTGAATGTGCACATAAACCCTGCTTCTCCCCAAATATAAGGAGCAAAAGGGAAAAGTGGAGTGCTGACTCCACTTTGATGGAGGAGGACGGGCAGACAGGAAAATGTGGTCAGAGTGCAGTCCCTGAAAGGCTATGATGAGGAGAGAAGCTCCCCAATGCTCCAAGCCTCTTCTCAGCAAATGGGGCAAAGGCCATCTGCACATTGTACTTACCTGGAGCTCCTCTCCATCTGGTAAAGGCGCCCCTGTGCACCTGAATGGACATCAAATCTCAGACTCTTCAGAAGAAAAACTTCCCTGTTTCCTTGGCTACACCTGATAACGATGTGAAAGAACCCAGAAACAGTCAAAATGTCTATTCATTTCTCTGATCTAACACTTATCGGTGTGTGACCTTATGTCAATGGCTATGCCGGTCTCAGCTCAAGATTTCTTAAACTGCAGAATGGACATAAATGTAATGCTATGTTACCAAAAGAAAGTGGTGAGGATAAGAAGAAAGGCCTCGAAAGAGCCCATATCTGTGTGTACCCATGAGGGGAGAATGAGAGGGCTGGCCTTTCATGCAGCACACTGGTGCACATGGCACAAGAACCACGGACCACACTTTCATCTGTCAAATGTACTAACTGCCGGCAAGAGGCCTGATGAGCCAGAGTGGGCATCTGTCCTCCAACCCACGTATATGTCTCTATGTCCAAACACCCAGCGTGTCTCCTCCTGTAGCCATGATTGAATAGCTCAGGCTCCTAGCTAAGACCCATCCTGCCCCTTATGCACTGAGCCCATCCTTCTTACCTACTTAAAGACATTGCTCCAGCAATTGTCCACCTGCTCTTGTATCATCAAGTTGTTACTCTCTACTGGATCATTCCCAGCATACGAATGTGCCGTCATAATTTCTTCCGCTTAAAAGTTTTGTTGTTGTTCTTTTTTTTTTTTTTTTTTTTGAGACGGAGTCTTGCTCTGTCGCCCAGGCTGGAGTGCAGTGGCGCGATCTCGGCTCACCGCAAGCTCCGCCTCCCGGGTTCACGGCATTCTCCTGCCTCAGCCTCCCGAGTAGCTGGGACTACAGGCGCCGCCACCACGCCCACCTAGTTTTTTGTATTTTTAGTAGAGACGGGGTTTCACCATGTTAGCCAGGATGATCTCCATCTCCTGACTTCGTGATCTGCCCATCTCGGCTTCCCAAAGTGCTGGAATTACAGGCTTGAGCCACCGCGCCCAGCCAAAAGATTTTTAAAAATTCTCCTGGCTCCACATCCTCCTCCAGATACCACCCTATTTCTCTTCCCTTTTAGAGTAAAACTCCTCTAAAGTGTAGTCTCTATTCTGCCTCCAGTCCAACTACTCCCGTTCCTTCTGGAATTCATTCCAAATAGCTTTCGTCCTCATT